GACGAGGTTACCCGTCTGGGTTGCTGCGAGTTAACTCGGAGCTGTTGCCTACCCACAGAACTTGTCGGTGAAGGGGTAGCATCGGGTGGAAATAGATGAGAGCTTGGTGATAGGCCAAGGGTCGAGGATCTTCCAACGGTTGAAGGAGGAGCAGAAGCACGCGTCGCACTCTGCGGGCTTCCTCTGAAATCATCTATCTGTAGGCCGCCTGTACGGAGGGCTGGTTTTGTGAGCGAATTGTTCCTCGAATGTCCTCCATTTACTACACTGCTACTTCGCGTCACACTGGACGAGCTGACTTTTGCCCGCACAACATTGGCAGCTGACGGAGTGGGTGAGGCAGACCGGTAGCCAGGATCATAAATATTGGCTGTAACTTTCGCTATAATCTAAATCTGGTTTAGCAATAGTCGTGGTATTGTGGAAGGAGCTGCAGGACATGCCTTTTTCTTAGGAGGTGCCTCCATAAGATGGAAGAAGCCAAGCCAGCCTTTCGACCTTGACCACTTTACCGGTCATATCATGCTGGCCATACCCTCGATTGAACTAGGAATAAAACTGAAGCACTCCGATCGACTCAATAAAACGAATCGTTCATCTCCCTGAACACTCCCATCAGTTGCCACTTACATGGAGCCGGCCCTTTCCTCCCTGAAAACACTCTCGGCATCAGATAAACAACTATTCTCGAGAGCAGGTATATCCAAACCTTCAGAAATCTGGCTTCAAACGCCCCATGAATTGGCAAAAAAACTACGAGTAGGGGTCGATGAAGTCCAGAAAGCCATTCGTACATTGTGCCTGGAGATCGCCCCCAAACCTACGGTCGTGAACAAGAAATTGTTCCATGAATCTTACTGCTTCACAACCGGAGATGCATTATTGGACGAAAAGTTGGGTGGTGGAATACACGTGGGTTCTATTACAGAAATAAGTGGCGAATCGTGAGTTTGCAATGATAACTGTATTCTCAGTCTCATTTTGTTCATAGAGGATCCGGAAAAACTCAGATTGCACTTCAAATTGCTTTAATGGCCCAGCTTGACATGGAGGACAATGGTTTGAACTCGGGAGTCGCCTATTTCTCGACGACTACCTCGCTTCCCGTCGTTCGGTTATCTGAGCTGGCACGGACGCATCCAAAATGTCGGGAATATAACCGGCAGTCTTTGACCGATAATGTCCACCATTGCCCCGTCCCAACAGTTCCGGCTGTACTCAGCGGACTTACAACCGCTCTGGACCAGCTGTTTCTGCGGGTGGAAGATTCGAGCGGTGCACTAAAGCCTATTAAGCTCGTTATTCTAGACTCTATAGGCTCCATCTTCCATTCCGTGGATCGTACAACTACCACAACTCTAGTTGAACGATCCAGAGCTGTTAATGAAATCTCTCAGAGGCTTCATCATGTAGCCTCTACGAAACAAGTCGCAGTTGTAGTCATCAATCAGGTGTCTGACGTATTTAACACCCCAGGGGACGCCGCCGACTCGGATGATTTTGAGCTTCTTTACAAGAGTCAATCAGAATGGTTCAGTCGATCTCCTTTCGTATCAGGGCATATCAAACAGGAAGCAACTCTGGGACTTATTTTCGCTAATCAAATCAATACACGTATAATGCTGGCCCGCACGAGACGCCGAATTCGTTCTTCCGAGGACGAAGAACGCAGAGTAACCAAGAAACGAAAAATACAACAACCAAATAACAGGTTGTTTGCCATTATGGAGGGCATCTTATCAGAAGAGGAGGAGCATACTAGCGATTCTGGGACAATGATCCGCACGCTTTCTATTCTCTTCAGTAATAGCTGCAGCCCTTGCTCCTTGGACTTTGTAATCAAGAGACAAGGACTAGAGGCCTTGCAAGTCAAGACTATGACCACCAGATCTAATATCTATCCAGTTTCAAAACCACCTCCTCCCTTGCCTCCGGTGCAAGAATCTGGTCCATCTAAAATTCCATCTACACAAGGGTTTATATCTGCTCGATTAACCCAGATTAACGAAACCGACAATATTGAGGGTGAGAAGGAGAATACTAAAAGGCAGGAAGGTGGAGACCTAGACGAGGACTTTGGCACTTTTGACGAAGAAGCCTGGGCCAACCATACACTCGACGCCACTTCTTCTGACGAACACTGGGATATTCCAGAATCGGAAGGTCAATCTCCTGCTCCATTGGAGGATGCAGTCGACCCAGAGGCCGAGGAGTTGGTGGAAAGTAGTGATGTGGAAGAAAACTTGCTCCTTACTCTTGTCCAGACACAATGATATACAATCTTATATCTCTCTTGTAGTTAGATACATATACTGATAATTTGATCTCTTTTCTTCTGAATTGTGCACCTCACATATAAACGTGTCACTATGTTACCCTTCAATTGATTAATGTACGTATGTAGTGGTAAACATCTTGGACTACTCAATGTCAAGCCCTGAGACTCAAAGGCCGTCAGTCCTGGCTGAAGTAAGACCTAGTATACAGTCTGATTTGGACAATGCATTTTCAGCAGGAGAGGAATCGGACGGGGAGCAGTTCGATCTAAAATCATCAACAGCGGCATTCCGGGAGCGATTGGCTCAGCAAGAAAAGGACTTTGAGTCGGCATCTCAAGAAGAGTATGAGATAGACATCACCACGCCAAATTGGAGTGCGCATAGCGCTGTACGGAGGAATGCAGACGTCGAGGCGGAGGAAGAAGACAGACGCCACAGCCAGCCTGTCTCACCGTTTGCGGTTGCAGAGAATGAAATAACCATCTCAATATCACCCTCATCAAGGCCGCATACAGCCCCATTGAACGGCACCATGCGTCGGGATAGTCCTGACGATGAACCGACTTTACCTTCCCTGGAGGCCGGTGCCGACGAGAACGCCCCGAATACACCTGTACAAACCTTTGAAGAAGTTTCTTTAGAGGAAGGTGCTGCCACACCGGCATCTGCTCGCTCAGCTGTCTCACAGGAGACGAGGTCACCGCGTCCACCATCCGTACAAGGCCGTCGCAATTCCACTGGAGACATTTCTGCCCAAAAGTCACCAAACTGGCCTCCACCAGAGGCATTGGCTGCCTCTTCCCCTGCTTTCCAAGCACGGTTCAAAGCCTCCAAGCATACCGGACAGAGCACCTTGCAGAAAGTGATAAGCAAAACGAGACCGGTTTATCTACCTCCCAAGTCCCGTGAGGAAGACATCAAACATCAAAAAGTGTGGGAAAAGATGATGAAGCAGAGTCGAGAAGCTGGTGAGTAGCTATATTAGTATCGAGGTGCGGCCAGTTCATTAAATGTCTGCTTATAGAGGAGAAACGAGCCGAAGAACTTCAGCAACGGAGACGAGAGAGAGAAAATGCCGTGGAGGCGTCTATTCCTAGATGGCAAAAGGAGGTCTTACCCGACTGGAAAGTCGCCATGAAAGACCCGTCCTTACGACATATGTGGTGGCAAGGAATACCGACAAAAATGCGCAGTCAATTATGGGAGAAAGCCATCGGAAACTCGTTGCAGATGAGCAAAGGTATGTACTCCCACCATAGAGGTTTCTTGGATACTCATGGCTACCACTATAGAGTCGTACAGGACATGTCTCGGAAGAGCCAAGCGCGCTATTCAGAGAGGGACTTTCCCGGAAGACGCCATTACTAGTATGGAAGAAGACATGGACACCACGTTACCATCCTTACATTTATTTCATCGGGAGACTGGGGCCATGCGCGAAGATTTAAGGGATTTGATGCTAGCATGGACTGTCGCACGATCGGATGAAGGCCTCGGATATGTATGCAATTTCCTTCTGCTCAGCCGAGAAGCTCTGATCCTAACGTAGATGTTCAAAGCAAAAAGGAGCAGCTAGAATAGGAGCAATGCTCTTGATCAATATACCATTGCCTCAAACTTTTGTTACAATGCGAAATCTTTTGGAAAGACATTGCCTACGTTCTCTCTACGGAGGGCCCAGTTCCAAAGAGGACGTGAGTATACTGCAAACTTGCCCTTCCAAACGACTTACCCCCCCCCCCCCCCCCCCCCCCCCCCCCCCCCCCCCGCCCCCCCCCCCCCGCCCCCCCCCCCCCCCCCCCCCCCCCCCCCCCCCCCCCCCCCCCCTCCCCCCCCCCCCCCCCCCGCCCCCCCCCCCCCCCCCCCCCCCCCCCCCCCCTAGGTGGAGGCTTATTATCGAATATTCGATACATTATTGGCGGATAGTTTGCCTAAAGGTATCTGGAAACTGCAGTAGGGAGGATGTGGCTGACGTCACGTATAGTGTATTTCAATTTCAAGCAGCACCATATATCTCCTGCCGAATACCTTTCCGACTGGCTTATTCCGATATTCATTGACCATCTACCATTTGAGACATGCGCTCGGTTATGGGACATTCTCGTCCTAGAGGGTGACTCGTTCCTATTCCGAACAGCGCTGGCTATATTTGGAGTGTTGGAATCTAGACTTTTCTTTCCTGATCGGTTAGAGCTCATTCAAGTACTAAGAGGAGAGAGTAGGGCTGCCGTACACATCGCAATGCGGACCGCAGCCGTGTCTGAGATTGTGGACCTAGGCGCTAGGTACGAGGTTTATGGGTTAAACGAAGAATCGTTGTGGGATAGGATAGAATCATCTGAAGAGTGGTGGAAAGAGTCGACTTGGCTCAGGTTGATTCAGAGAGAACTGCCGGATATGTGATGTGTATGACTTGTATTCTTTAGCCAATATAGACTCTATCTAACTCCCGCGATATGTTGTATAAGAGAATGGGCTTAGTAAAAGGGGTATATGATAGTGCTGTTCTGGGTGCTTGAGATCAAAGATGATCTGAACGGCGTTAGCTAGCTACGTGATATATAGATAGAGACTCTACCTCCACAGCGGGGAAGAAGGTATCTCTGTTCGTCTCCGCAAAGTAAGCCTTGGTAGCAAACGTCATTTTGTATATTCCGGCTGATAAAGTTTGTGGTGGCAGAAGAGTGGTACAACGACCGTCTGCATCAGTAGTCCTAGTATGGTTCCTAAGATCCTCTATTCAGCAATCTAGAATCGCAGGTACACACCCAGTGGCCATAGCTGAGAAGGAGGTGCCATTTCCTTCTGCACGGGAGATGATCACCTCGACGCCGACTGCTGGTTTGCCGGACTGCGTATCAAGTACTAGGAACACCAAGATTAGGCACGAATCGGAATCGGAACTATTCGCTAACCGTGGCAGGTTACGGGCGACTTCGCAGACATTTCGTCGAAAAGGGGGAAGCCAGAAATCGTGCAATACAGTCGAGCCGTAATGCCGTAGCAGTGGTGACCTCAATAGCTACCAGAGACCCACAGTGGGCACACATACAACCTTGAGAATATTGAAAACATTCTCCGAGGTTGTATCTTGTGGGTGCATCGTTTCAGAACCAGGGGAGTGGGGGAACCGTCGGTCCGTGGGTGGGGGTGTGAACGCCAGTGATATCCCTAAATAAAACTGCTGATCAGCTACGAAACATTATCATCAGCGGGCTCTTTCTAAAGCGTTTTAAAGATAAACTGGGGAAACAGTATATTTGTCTCGATTTATTTGCACTACTTCTTTACTGACGTAGTGCCCAGTGGCGTGGCGGGTCTTCGGTTTCAAACGATTAGCCCTTCGACCCGACCCAATCTGTACTTACGACCCATCGACAGCTCTGTGAGCTTTTCAGACCTAGTCTTCGATCTTTAAGCTTGGTCAATGCCTCCTAGTGCGCAGACGTCTGGCACGGTCGCCCCTAGCAGGCCAAAACCAACGGCTATACAGCACAAAACCGATGAATCCTCGTTTACACCTGAATCTGGCTCATCTGGAGGAGGTCAGACGTCCGATTCTTATGTGATGTTACCCCGTGGTGCTCGTTCACCCGAGCCAAATCGTCCTGGAATAGATTTCCCAATAATTTCGCTAACAACCCCTCCTCCCTCACGTCGATTGTCGCGTCAACCGCAAAATAAACCCTTACCATCACTTCCAAAGACCAATAATTCACTCCCCAAGCCACCTACCGACTCGCAGCCTGCGTTGTCGTGGGCCGTATCTTTTAGAGGGTTTGTTAAAGCTGTC